CACGAAAGAAACCCCACCCAGCGTGGAACACCGCGGACCGCCTGGTCCACACTGGTCTCCTAAACCAATCCCTACCACTCCGGTCCACGAGCCCTGTCACGAGGTTACTCAGTCCGCATCGAGCACTTCTTCTCCTGCACATAACCAGTCAGACGCCCCTCTCTCTCCCGGAGGGGCTTCCCACACCGGACCCATCCTTCCGAGCCTCTGACCCACGAAGCCTGCCCACGGCTCCACGGCCCACTCCCCCAGCCGGCGGCTCCCCAGTCCGCCTCCCGACGGCTGAGGCACGGACGCCGCGCTGCGCTCGCTCACCTCCCTTCCCTCCCTACACAGCTCGCGTGGGCTTCAGGCTGATGGACGCACCTCGGCCCATACGGACGCCCTGGACTACGGAGCGCACACGAAGTGACGCCCGGGGCAGCACGCGGTGATCGCTGGCCCCAACCCGGCCACGCTCCGATCAGACGATGGATGAAAGCAATCGGAGTGGCTCAACCGTCCAACTAGGGAGTAAGAAAGAACACTGTCCACGTACGGTACCACAGCCACGAAACCAATCAACAGCAGGGGAAGCCCAGGAGCTAGTCGGGGGTAAAGGTCACACGGACGGGGTTCTTGGAGGGACACGTGCGCGAGTTTACCGCTGCAGCCTGGGAGCGGCCGGCCGCTCTGAGGGTCGCTCCCATGTAAAGGATCGGGACAGTCTGAACTTCGAGGTGGACATCCGCGCCCCGGTTAGCTTCAGCCGGTGGCAACAGGACAGGAAAGGGGATGCGTGCAAACTGGTAGAGCTTTAGAAACGCAAACTCACGCAGGTCACGGCCGTGGGGACGGAACACACATCGTCTCTCTCCACACCCCAGCCGCTTCAAGAAGGGTTCCAGCTCTGGCACCCACCGGACAAGCAGCTGAGTGCGGCAAACAGAGCATCCACCAGGACAACCGGGACCCCTGGCCCCACAGACACCAGGCAGTCCTCAGCGCTCCCGAGCAGAGGGAAGGTCGTGCCACAGGCCAAGCAGCAGCCCCTTTACTATCTAGGAAACCTAGAGGGTACATCCAGGCTGCCTGGCCCCTCCACCTCCAAAGTCCCCAAAGCTCTTGCCAAAAACAATCGACTATTAGAAAGTACAATCCAGGGGCACCTGCAGGGCTCAGTCGTGAAGCAGCTGCCTTCGGCTCGGGTCATGACGCCAGGGTCCTGGGATCGAGCCCCATGTCAGGCTCTCTGCTCAATGGGGATCCTGCTTCTCCCTCTCCCTCTGCAGTTCCCCCTGCTTGTGTTCACTGTGTCTCTCCCTCTTTGTCAAATAAATAAATGAGGTCTTCAAAAAAAAATTTTTTTTTAATTAAAAAAAAAATACAACGTGAACTCATAAACCAGGAATCTGAGTGAATCACCGGGTTAAAAAAAACGACCATCTGCTTGCAAATGAGGACCTCCCGACTGAGACACACAAGGGCCTGTTCTCCTACCAGCCTAGGGACAAGAGCAGCCCCGGCTCTACTTCCAGTTCTGGGGCCTGGAGAGGGGTTCGGAGCACACAGTTCATTTTCACCAAAGGTCCCTGTGACAAAGCAAGGTGGTGAGCCCCAGAGCTGACACTGAAGAGAGGCTGCTCCTGACACCCACTGAGCAGACAGGGTCCAGGCCATCCCTGCAGTCTGTAGAACGCGACACAGCAGCAGATCCCCCAGCTCCGCCGCAGAGACCCAGCCCAGCCATGAGGAGTTCCCTTCCCACAACACACTTTCCCAATCAGTTGTCTGATCACTCCAGTGCGAGGACGAGGGTCAATCGCTCGAGGAGGACAGGCTCTCTCCACCCCCGTGAGCTGCCTTGGTGGCCCCTCCGGGCCTGCCCAGCTCGGGCAGCTCAGCCCCTGGCCAGGGAGTGTTGAGGTGTGACCAGTGTCAGCCTGGCTCCCGGGGCTCCTTGACAGGAAAGTCACCAGCACTCGGCCACGTAGCAACAAGTCTGAAAACAGCTGAGTGCCTTCCAGTACTTTCCCTGCCTGCTGGTTCAACACTGTCCTTGGAAGAGAACAATTATACCCTGCCGTTACCCCTGAAACCAAGGCCTAGAACCCTTTAAGCTTCTAAGGTCATGAGCTAAAATCAAAGCCAGGAACGCGGTAACCCCTTACAGCACTCTTCCCTGTAAACAAATGGCACTTCAGGTCACTCCTTTTTTACAAATTTCTTACAACTTTCACCGAAAAAGACATCACAAAATTTCCCAGGTAAACCCTACTTTTATTTCTTTTGGCTTTCGTAAGTAAGCTCTAGCCCCAAGGTGGTCTTGAACTCAGGACTCAGAGACCAAATGTCTCACGGCCTACCGACCAAGCCAGCCAGGCACCGGCTTCTACTCTTTCTTGCAGATACTTTTAAATGAACTCCTTCAGCACATGCAGTCCATTACCGCTAAGAAAATAACGACACCACTCTCCACGAAACCACAGTCACCCCGAGGAGGGGCAGAGCAAGCACAAGGTGGCCCCGGCTCTGGGCTGCAGCGAGCCGAAGGCGCCTTTCTGAATCACGGCAGGCCATCAGCAGGCCACCAGCAGGCCTGGCGGAGGGACACGCCCCTGAGCCTCCCCGGCACTACAGATGGCACGCAGTGACCCGGGGGACGCGGACAGTCCCCCAAGGCAGACACAAAGCATGACGGCAGCCTCGGAGCACCTGGCCCTAGAGCGTCTGCGTGCTTTCCATTCCCGCACAGAGGGGAAGCTACTCAGGTTCACGCAGCTACTCAATGACAACCGTCCAGGTGAAACACTGAAGCCGCTCTCACTGTCACCCACAACACCGACGCGCCCTGGAAGCTGCAGACCCGAAGAACGCGTCTAATTAGCTGGAACTAAACCGGAGAGACACAGGGAGCTGTCCCAGAGAAGAAACAAAGAACAGGCCCCTAGATTAGGAGAAGAATTTCGGCGGGGAGGCGGGAGCAGGGTGCTGTCTAAACTATCCTATCAAAATCCACTCCCCTCCACCGTTCTGCTCTCCTGAAAGACCAGACAGACTGCGGGCAGCGCCAGTCTCCCACCCAGGCCGTGACCTCCACACCAGCGACCTCCACGAACCCACTCCAGCTGAGCCAAGGTGAGGCTTCTGGGTCACGTGACAGGATCGCCCAAATTCGTAAATTTAAAGAGACATTCAACTAGGGAAAAAAAAAGTCTGTTCCCCTTCTGAATCAACGTACAGACTGGAAAAGCCTTTTTGTTTGGCAAAACTGAACGGAAACCAGACCTCCTAAACTCAGCGTTTGGCCACCGCGCCACCGCGACAGGAGAGCCACTGAACGCCGGACGGGCAACACGGAATCCGGTCTCAGGTCCTGGGACAGCATCCTTCCTCCTCCAGCTCCCACACCCGTTCTGCTCTACGAACACCCACCTTTAATGATCCCAAAACCGTAAGGCCTATTTCAATGAACCTCTGAATTAATTACCGGATGCGTCGACAAGCACCGAAGAGAGATCTGGTACTGGGAATAAAACTGGACCCTGAGAGACGCACACTCATCTCCAGAGAGCGGACGAAGCCCACGCCGGCCGCCAGAGCTGAGCGCAGCGACACACACACACATCTGCTCTGCTAAAGAAACGGAAAGCGAGCAACGAGAGGGCTTCTGAAAAGTATCTGTGCCCGCACAGCATTCACCAGCAGGACAGTCATTTCCATACATAAAATCTCCGAAACACACACAGGAGCGAGACCCTGCACACATGCCCCAGGAGCCGGGCCCAAGGACACACTGGGCTTCGGAGGCAGGCGCGGAGCCCCGCCAGCGCCCGTGTGCGGTGAGGGAGCCTCCGGTGAAGTACTACACGGCCATGGAAAAGCAGGAAGTCTGCCCGGAGCTGGAAAGAACCTGAGACGGAGCACGTCGGAAAGCCCTCTCGGAGGCGACAGCAGAGAAAAACCAGCCAACGGCCGCGCGTCCCAGGCAGGCAGAGGCAACGCCGCAAAGGCCCACCAGGCTCAGGGGCCCTTCCTTACCCCGGCTGCGAGACACCCGGTATTCCTCCTCATGGCTCACTCTCACGTTCCTGCGGTTTTTATCAATTCCATGGTTTCCCTAAAATCACAAAATTCACGGGTGCACCCAACTCCCTAGAAACTGCATCGCTTCAGAGCAGCCATCAGCGAAACCGCAGATCCCAAGGCTGTGAAAGGAGGAAAAGGCGCTCCTTGCACGCTGTCCAGCCAACCCAAGGACGCCGACCAGCGCAGGCCGCAGGCCGTTTACCCTCACGACCCGCCGGGCCTCCCCCGCGCACAGACCGCTCCAACTGGTGCGATCCTGTCCCGGGGCCACCCTGCTCCGGACGGGCTCACGCGGGGTCCGCCAAGTCCATCCCCAAGGGCCGCTCCGCACGTCGCTGCTGCGGCCCTGGAGCCGGGACGTGTGCACCAGAGTAAAGGCCGCCGGACAGTGGCGTCCACGGAAAAGGTAGGCTGCCCAGCGCCAGCGTCCAGCACGGACCCAAAACAAAGCACCGGGTCTTACAAAGTCACGACGGGGCCCTTCGTCTGGGAGTTCCGAGAGCTGGAGCCAGAAACATCGTAATCCGCTAAGCACATTAGGACCGAACGCAGCGGATGCGGCTACAAGGTTACCCAGTTCTTCACTACCGGAGCCCACCGCGGGGACCGGGCAGTTCCGCGTACGAGCTTCTGCGCGCCCCGCCAGCGCAGGGCGTCCAGGGTCTGCCCCCGCACCCACCCCCCGGCAGGACGGCGGGCCCCGCACCCACCCCCGCGCAGCCACTGAGCTGCGGCCGCGGACGCGCCGCCTCCTGCAGCACCTGCCGAGCGACCCCCGCCCGCGCCCCCGCCATCGCGCGCCCCGGCCCGCGGCCGGCCGGCTCCGGAGGAACCCCCGCGCGGCGCCGTGCGGCCCCGGACCCCGCGCACAAAGGCGGCCCCGGCCCCACCGCCGCCCCCGGGACCCCCGCCCCTGCCCCGCCCCGACCCACCGATGCCGTAGGCCTTGGCGCAGATCCACTGCAGGTTGGCCGCGATCTTAGCGCGGGCCGAGTCGTAGCGGTCCAGGGGCACGATGTCCACGGCGCCTTCGGGCGCGGCCTCCATCCTCCTCCAGCCCTCCCCGGCCGGGCAGCCGCCCGCGTCCACCATCTGCACACAAAAAGGCCGCTGCGGCGCGGGCGGCGCCCGGCCTCCGCCGCAACAAAGGCGCCGCGCCCCTCGCCGCGCCGGGACCCGCGAGGGGGCCGGGCCCGCGAGCACCGCCGTCCCCGGGAGGCCGCCCCCGCCCCGGCCTCACCTCACAGCCGCCGCCGCCGCCGCCGCCGCGGGTGCTGCTGCTGCATGCTGCGGGGCCGCGCCGCGAGGCCGGGGCGCCGGGAGGCCGGGAGGCCCGGAGGCCCGGAGGCCCGGAGGCCGGGAAGGCGGCGAGACGAGGGGCGCGGGCCGGGCCGCGGGGCCGAGGCTGGGGGCGCGTGCGCGGGCCGGGGGCGGGGGCGGCGGGGGCGGCGGCGGCAGCCGCTGAGGAGGCGGCCAACCGGCGGGAGCGCGCGCGACGCCGAGGCCCTGCGCACGCGCGCTGAGTGCCGCCCGCCGCCCCGCCCCTAGCCGCACGCGCAATGGGAGCAGCCCGCCCCCGGCCTGAACGCGTCCCGCCCCTCCCCGCACGCGCAGTGGGCCAGCCCGAGGCCCCGCCCCCGTCCGCGAGCACCGGGCGCGGGGTCGCGCGGAGCGGGCGCGGGAATGGGCGCGGGCGAGGCCGCGGACGCCGGCGGGCTCGAAGGCCCTGGCGAGTCCCGCAGCAGCCCTTTGTCTGGGCCGCGCCTCCTCCACACCGGCCCCGGGTCGTCCACCCCAGAGGTCCCAGCCGCCGCCCGGGGGGCAGACGGATACCCCCGGGGAGGCGACACCCCCGCCCACCAGAGCAGCCCCGGGGGTTCCCCCTCCCAGAGAGCGCCGCTGCGGCCGGGCCGCCCTGCCCTCGGGGCCCCGCGTGTGTGCGCAGTGGTCCCCCGCGGACCCACTCCCGGCCTGGAGACCCAGGGCCCTCAGAGACCAGGGACACGGGCTTCCTGAGTGGGGGTCCGGGCGCGGAGGGCCGCCACCCCACGCCACAGCGAGGAGCCCGCGGTCACTGCACAAGCACCCGGCGGAGAGCCCGGCCTGGGGTCCCTCCGGGCGCCCGGCAGGGGCAGGGGCCGCCCCCCAAGAGGCGCGGGCGCATTGGAGCCTGCGAGGAGGGAGGGCAGGCCCAGGGCGTCCGGGCGTCCAGGCAGGGGCACAGTGGCGGCAGTGCTGGGCCATGAGCGACACGGACGCCCGAGTCCAGGGCCCAGGAGGGAGAGACACAGCTAGCAAAGGGGGTAGGGGGTGGGGGGTGGGGGTGGTCAGCACAGGAAGCTCTGACCTCTTCTCTCAGCGGGGAGCCGCAGCGGCCCTGGAGCACAGAACGGGGGCAAGGGCGGGGTGACTAACCCTGTGGGGTCAGGGAACAGGTGGTGGGCAGGGCAGGCAGCAGGGAGCTTGTACCTGGAGCAGGGCAGGACGTGGAATGGGGGAGAAGGACCCGGTCAAGGGTGACACCAAGGGTGTCCCTGTTGATCTTGTGTCATGCTACTTTGATGGACGTCTTGCTAGTTCCGACTGTGTTTTAGCTGACCCCACAGATTTTCTGCATTTAAGATGATGACAACTGTGAACCCACGTTCTGGTACCTCTTACTTGTCAGTCTGGTGTCACTTTATTTCTTCCCTTACTTGATGTCCCTGGCCACAGCCTCCAGGCATCCGCTAAGCCAAGGTCACGCAGTGCATGTCCGTGTCTTGTTTCTGCTCTTAGGAGAAAGCATCCAGTCTGCCACTGTCCAGGACTATGTTAACGGGGGGTTTTCCGAGCTTACCCAGCCGAGGAAGTTCCCCTCTATTACTTGTTTGCTGAGTGTTTTATCACAAAAGGGGGTTAGGTTCTGTCCAGGCCCTTTCGTGATTGTTGAGATAATGGTGTAGGGTCTTTTTACACTATTAATGTGGTATTGGTTGATTTTCAGATATTGAACCAGCCTTGCATTCCTGAGATAAAGCCCAGAGCAGACCATTTTTTTCAAGTGTGGCAAATCATTTGGGGGGGTTTGGTGGTGGTGGTGGTGGTGTTAGCTTTACTGAGATGAGTTCACGGGTAGCACTGTGTAAGGTGTACTGTGATGACCTGGTCCGTCTGTAGCACATAGTATGTGGAGTTTTTACATGTAGGTGTATGTTGTGAAACGACCACAGGTCAGTTTACGTCCATCTCCTCACCTGGTTACCTTCTGTGTGTGTGTGTGTGTGTGTGTGTGTGTGTGTGTGTGTAAAATATTTAGCATTCACTCTCCTAGCACCCTTCAAGGATACGCTACAGTGCTGAACACAGGTTGTGTCCACGTCTTGGCTGAGTGAATAATGCTGTCATGAACATGGGGGGGCAGATGTCTCTTTGAGAGAGTGGTTTTATGTCCTTCAGTGATATACCCAGAAGTGGAACTGCTGGCTCATACGATAGTTGTTTTTAATTTTGTTTGTTTTGTTTTTAATTTTTTGAAAAACCTCCATACCGTTTTCCACGACGGCTGCACCAGATTGCATCCCCCCATCAGCGCATGAGGACCCCCTTCTCCACATCCTCACCGACACTCCTTATCTCTTGCGTTTTTGATTGTAGCCATTCTGCCCAGTGTGAGATGATACCTCACTGTGGTCTGGGTTACACGGCCCTGATGTTGCAACATGGCAACCGCCATTTTCATGTGTTTGTTGGTCACTGGTATGTCCTCTTTGGATGAAATGTCTGTTCAGATCCTTTGCCAATTTTTAAACTGAATTATTTGTTTGGGAGTGCTTTCCCTCTTCAGGTTTTTTGGAAGATTTTGAGAAAGATTGGTGTTAATTCTTGGGGCGGCTGGGTGGCTCAGTGGGTTAAAGCCTCTGCCTTCAGCTCAGGTCATGATCCCAGGGTCCTGGGATCAAGCCCCGCATCCGGCTCTCTGCTCAGCGGGGAGCCTGCTTCCCCCTCTCTCTCTGCCTGCCTCTCGGCCTACTTGTGATCTCTGTCTGTCAAATAAATAAATAAAATCTTAAAAAAAAAAAAAGATTGGTGTTAATTCTTAAAATGTTTAGGATAATTCACCAGTAAAACCATCTGGTTCTGAGCTTTTTTGGGGGGGGGTGGAGATTTTTGATGACTTGTTGAGTCATCCTTAGTATTGGTATGTTCAGATTTTCTATTCATGATTCAGGTTTGTACATTTCTAGAAATACATCCATTTCTTCTAAGTTATCCATTTCAGCATGTAATTGTCCATAGCAGTTCTTATGATCCTTTGTATTTCTGCGGCATCTCTTACCATGTCTCTCCTCTTTCATTATACTTTTGTTGATTTGAGTCCTTTTTTTCTTGGTTAGTCTAGCTAAAGGTATGTCAATTTTGTTTATCTTTTTAAAACACCAGCTCCTAGCATCCTTAATTTTTTTCCCTCTTGTCCTTCCAGTTCCTACTTTATTTATTTCTGCTCTAATCATCTGTATTATTTCCTTCCTCCTGCTAATGTTGGGCTTAATTTGTTCTCATATTTCCCTGAGGTGTAAAGTTAGGGTGTGTATTTGCAATCTCTCTTTTCTTCTTAATGTAGGCATTTATGTCTCTAAACTTCCCTCTTAGAACTGCTCTTGCCCAGGGCACCTGGGTGGCTCAGTGGGTTAAAGCCTCTGCCTTCCGCTCAGGTCGTGATCCCAGGGTCCTGGGATCGAGCCCCGCATCGGGCTCTCTGCTCTGTGGGGAGTCTGCTTCCCTCTCTCTCTGCCTGCCTCTCTGCCTACTTGTGATCTCTCTGTCAAATAAAATAAGTAAAATCTTTAAAAAGAAAAAAAAAAAAAGAACTGCTCTTGCCCCACCCCATAAATTCTGTATGTTGTATTCTGTTTGTCTGACGATACTTCCTGATTTCTTTTTTGCTTTCTTCTTTGAGCCCCTAGTTATTCAGATGTGTGTATTTTAATTTCAGTATATTTGTAGTCCTTCTGTTTTTTTCTCTTTTAACTTTATTTCTTTATTTGGGGGGAGTGGAAGGGGGAGAGAGAATCTCATGCATACTCTGCACCAAGCATGGAGCCTGACACAGGGCTCGATCTCAGGATGATGAGATCACAACCGTACCCGAAACCAAGAAGATGCTTAACTGCACCACACCAGCCTCCCCGTCCCCCTATTACTGATTTCTCGTTTCATATCATGATGGTCAGAAAAGACTTGTGATAGGATTTCAGTCTCCTTTGATTCATTAAGACCTGCTTCGTGGCCGAGCCTATGATACGTCCTGGAGAGCGCTCCGTGCACACGTGAGAAGAATTGCGTTCTTCGGCTGCTGGGCGCAGTGTTCTGTGTGTGTCTCTTGGGTCTGTTGGGTGCACAGTTTGTTCAAATGCACCATTTCCTTACCGAGTCTGTCTCTGGGCAGTCTACCCAATGCCAACAGTGGGATCTTCAAATCCCCTCCTAACACTGTATGTCTATTGTCCCCTTTGCTTCTGTTAATTTCTTTTTTCAGATTTTTAGAAGCTCCTATGTTGGGTGCTGTATATTTACAATTGTTATGTGTTCTTGATAAATTGACCCCTTAACCACTATCGAGTGACCTTCTTTGTCTCTTATGACCAATTTTGACTGACGGTCTCTCTCCTCTCATACCAGCAGAGCCGCCCCTGCTGTCGTTGGGCGTCTATGCACAGGGCACCTGTGTTCACATCCTTTCAGCCTACGTGTGTCCGTAGAACTGAATTGAATCGCCAAAAGGCAGTGTATTGTTGGATCCCGCTTTTAATCCGTTCAGCCAGGATAAGTCTCTTGATTGGAAAACTTAATCCATTTACATTTAAAAGAACTAATAAATGGAAGGACTTGGAATTGCCAATTAGTTCACTGTTTTGTATCACTTTGTTCTTTTGTTCTTCTTTCCTGGCTTATTTCTTGCAGTGGTGCGCTCTAACTCCTTTCTCTTTTATGCAGATATGAGTCTTTTTTTTTTTTTTCAGTCTCTACACCCAACATGGGGCTTGAACTCATGAGCCCACGCTTAAGAGTCACACGCTCCACCGACTGAGCCAGCCGGGCGCCCCATAACAGCCTATTTTAACGCGACAACACTCGCCTTCAGTCAGGTGTGAAAGCTACGCCGTTGCTCCTCCCGCTCCCTTTATGCCACCGACACCACAGTTTGCGACTTCCCGTGCGCGCCCCTTTGCAGGTTGTCGCGCTGGGCTGCCGCCGGTTTCCAGCGCTTCCCCGCTCTGCGCC